TTCAAAATTCAAACATTTCTGTATCATAGATATTCTTTTCATCTCTGTTTTTAACTTCAAAATTATTATTTCCATTAACAAATTTGGAGCATTCTCCTTCTTCATTCTGGATGGTTTCATTTTCTCTGTCTTTAATAAAAGAAAATGTGCGATATAGTTGAGGAGTTTCTTCGATTTCTGTTTCGTCCTGATTAAGTTCAACAAATTTATTCAGATTGTTTGATGCATTAACGGTATCATTAAAACTCGAATAACGTATTCGAGCATCAATTCTATTTAGTTGTAGAAAATTATTAACTCTATTAAAATATTTAAGGAAAAATATAATTAGGTAATTTTAGAATGAAAATTAAAAGAAAAAACAAAAAACAAAATTACCAATACTATTTTCTTGACAGTAAGAGGAGATACTTTGAATAATTTGACGATATTTATGTATCTCATTTATTTGTTGTTGAATCGTACTTTCATATTGTTCTTCATTATTGCTATATATCCTAGCTGAATGTGAAATGACCATTTTGAAGGCTTCATTTTCACTCTTTAAGGTTTCATTTTCTTTTATTAAATAGTGATTTTCTTTTTTTAATAAAGTTATTTCAGTTAGAAAATTGGTATCCTTATCATCTAATCTCTTGATCCTTCCTTCTAATCTTATAATTTTAGTAATCATTAATTGTATTTGAAATTTTAAAGCGTCAAGAAGTTGGTCATGATTTTTGTATTCTTTATCTGTCATTTCTTTATTGTAAAGCTGATATTTATAATAATTTCTGGTACTTTCGAAATACTTAAAGAATGCATTTTTAATCTGATCTGGGGTTAATTTAGGTGAATTAAGAGTATTAATTAAATGTTTAATATTTGAGTTTTTTCGAGTCATTTTTTTTTTTTTTTTTAGATTCTAAAAAATTAAATCACATTATATATCAAATATTTGTATGAAACTGTTATTTGTTATTAAACTTAATTTGAGCTGATAACGGATCACATCTCTAGTATAAAAAAAATCAATTTAATATAACGTGAACAACGGTTATCAATTCCTTCCATATAGAGTACTTTTTTATATTATGTTTTTGCTGTATGTCACTTGATATCTTAATAAAGTCAGATTTATAGTAGTACTATAAATAGTATATATAAACCAGGCTTCATTCTTGAAACCAAAATTGTTTAAAAACTGGCTTGTAAATATATCAATACTGGTTTACAGTAGTCGGATAATTCGATAAAGTAAACTTTATGAAAATCATGTTTTAGGTCAATATAGATTAACGTAAAAAAGCTATATTTTCGCCATTCATTATTACAAATATTTTTAAACTTTCTTTGTCTATAAATTAGAAATGTGAACTAAAACCAATAGTCTTGTTAGTCAGATTACATTATATAAATAAATTTAAGTTCAAAAAATTTAAAATCTGCATCAATTAAATTAATACGTATGCTAAACGTGTTGCCATGACTAGTGATGGGACTTAAAAATTTAAATTTCATGCCTGTGATTCATTTAAAAAAAAATAAAAATGACAATTAATATCAACTATTTTTTATATCTGATATGATATTGTATAATTCAATAAAGTTAATATCTTATTCAATTGCCATGATCCCTGTGGACAGTTCAAATTTTAGGTCTTTTTTTAGCTTCTCTCCCATGTAAGTTCAGATAACCTATTTTTATCTAATAAAAAGCATTCAATAAAATATTAATAATTTTATATAATAGTAAAGTCATGTGTTATTAATATTACTTGGTAAATATTATTTATATAAACTATTTTTACAATAAAACGTGTACTGATTTTAAATTTATAATTACCGGTTATTCTATATCATGTGTCACATAAATTATCTGATTTTTGTATGGTTATTTGATATTTTTATGATATATATTTTTTGCGATAATTTTTTTTTTACACAAGATGAATTGGTTGAATTGGTTTATTTTGATCAAAAATTAACATTCAAAATAAAATGGGGTTGAGTCAACAGAAACCAAGCAAATCGAAATTTTTTCAAAATTGAGATTTTTTAATAAAATAACAGAAGCT